CATCATTTATATAGATGAGACTCACGTCGGGATTCGCCGTATTTTGAGTTGAGGTTTCAACAGCGGATTTTCGGCTAAGGGTTCCATCGTGAAGCGGAAGCGAGAACTGATTTCGAGGACTAAATTTAATTTAAGTGGGAGAGAGTTCTAACACATGTTCTGAATCGTTTCCTAATTCGGAGTTGTGACCCAAAGATCGATTATCATAAGGCTTAGGGCTTTGGGGGTGGGCGGGAAGAGATATTTAGACCCCTTTGGATGTGGGTAATGCATATTAGGCGATCCGAGAGTTCGGTTGGTGCTTTGGAGCCCAAGGTATAACTGGAAATTGATAATTAGAGCCTATTATGAATTTTGGGTTCAAGTTCGGTAAGTTTCAAGGAAAAGAGAGTTGATAGGGTTGTAGAGCTTCTTAACACGTTTTCGTGGATATAAAGATCGTCGAAATCTGATTTGAAACGAATAAGTTATGATTGTTCGAAGTTGCAAAGGATTTGGGGGAAAACTGATCTCACGACATGAGCAGTGGAGCTCACGACGTGAGAAGCGATTAATCGTTAATTTTTAATTAAACTGAGCTCACAACGTGAGCAATAATGGCTCACGACTTGAGGTGCGCTGCAGCCAAAGCCCACGATCTTTTAGGGTTTCCATCGTATTTAAACCCCATAAACCTCATTTTAGGGTTCCAAACAAGCCTCCTTCATCCCTTAACTAAGTAAAATCCTAACCCTAGCCTCTCCTTGTGTTTCTTGAACTTTTGATGGAGTTTTGGAGGTTTGAATAAGAGGAGAACACCATGGAAGCATAGTTGCAGCTTGAAAGCTTCATTTGCAACCTTTAGCCACACTTCTAGACCAATGCGAGTAATCAAGATCCAAGCTTTATGTTTCCTTATTGCTAGATCTAAAGTTTTATGCATATTTATCCAAGATCTTGTGAGTTGGAGTGTTGGGACTCCATAAAGTTGGAAACTTTATCGGTCCCTAGGGTCCCTAGATGCTTATATGCCATGGATCTGAAGTTGGATTGATGTTGGAGTTCATACATCAAAATTTATCTTCTTTTCTCCATGAATGACCTAGTTTGAGCCCAAGTCTTGTATTGGACATACAAGACCTTAAAGCATCGATTTTTATGATCCTTGGAGTGTTAGGAAACCTCCTGGAACAGATGGACTAGTGGCATAATGGATTAAGAGCTTTTTGAATCAATATGGCATTCAAACGGATCTCACGACGTGAGAAGATGCATGTCACGTCGTGAGGAGGGTCAGACTCGATTATCTTGTCTTGTAGTAGCTCACGACGTGAACCATAGATGGCCACGTCGTGAGGGTCTGCTGACCGTTGACTCTTTGACCAAGTTGGACCATGGGGTATCTTGGGTATTTTGTTGGTGATTTAGAAATTAGTATTTTGGATGGATAGGTTTCGGTTAGAGATGAGATTCGGAGTCGGGACCTCATCAGCCATTATTCAGATCGAGAGGTGATTTTTACTCACTGTACTTACGGGTCGAAGGCACCAAGGCCGACCAAGTGGATAGGATATCCTGTTTTATGATAGTATGATATTATGTTGTGTAGATCAGTTAGATCGGTATCCTGCTGAGTATGAGTTAGATCTGCATGGTTATATGGTAGATGCTGATATGCATAGACTCGTAGATCTATAAGACTACCTATGATTCTATCTGCATGTTTATATGTATGTGTTTATTATCTGTTACATGTCAACATATTGTGTTGGGTTGAGGTTGTACTACTTCGTGTTGTAGCCAACAAACCCTGGAGCATTCCAGATATGAGCTGAGGGTCGGGTAGGGCATGCCAGACTCATACCGAGGGCTCATGAGCATTCCAGTAACGAGTTGAGGACCGGGTGGTATGCCAGACTCTTACTGAGGGCTTAAGGGTAATTCAGTGCAATAACTGATTTGGTCAGGGAGCAACCCCGACATAAGCTATGGGCGCCGAGGGCAAGCCAGAGTTATTTTGTGGGCTCAGGAGCAAGCCAGACATAAGTTGTAGGCCGAGGGCAAGCCAGACTTATGTTGTGGGCTCAGAAGCAAGCCAGATATGAGTTTTGGGCCCGATAGGCAAGCCAGACTCATACTGTAGGCTCAAGGATAATCCAGTCTTTTAGCTGTGGACCCAATACATGTTGTTATTTGTATATGTTACTTGTTTGTATGGTGGTACTTTGGGGGAACTCACTAAGCTTCGTGCTTTACAGTTTTTAGTTTATGGTTTCAGATATTTCAGAGAACTGTGGCAAGGCGAAGGCGTGACCGTACACATCCCGATTTTTATGTTGTAGATCTTGGGGAGACTCTGATTTTAAGCAACGTTTTGGAAACAATGGTTTTGTAAACACTTTGATTAGTAAATGGGTTGTTTTGAAAAGTTTAAAGTTAGTTGTAATTTTTGGGATGTTTCAATACTACCTTCCACACCTATCCGTAGTTGATTATGAATTCATCCCAAGGTCCTAAGTCACTACACTAGGCCACTCCTAGGTGTGCTAACACCAACTTCTCCTACGAGATATAACTCACTAAGCTTCGTGCTTACAGTTTTTAGTTTATGGTTTCAGATATTTCAGAGAACTGTGGCAAGGCGAAGGCGTGACCGTACACATCCCGATTTTTATGTTGTAGATCTTGGGGAGACTCTGATTTTAAGCAACGTTTTGGAAACAATGGTTTTGTAAACACTTTGATTAGTAAATGGGTTGTTTTGAAAAGTTTAAAGTTAGTTGTAATTTTTGGGATGTTTCAATACTACCTTCCACACCTATCCGTAGTTGATTATGAATTCATCCCAAGGTCCTAAGTCACTACACTAGGCCACTCCTAGGTGTGCTAACACCAACTTCTCCTACGAGATATAACTAACTTCCTATGCACTCTTCCTAATATTACCCTCGCTCCCACACCACTGGTTGCTTTTGTGAATGCTTGTTGTACACAATACGGGGTCAGATAGACTGTCGAATAATCAACTCTGCCCTAAATCCACAACCAAACAAGGAACAAGAAGTAAGGCCAAGTCGATCATTCTAAGGTTATTCAATCCCGACCATATACAACTAATCAACATACAGGTAGCAATCACACAATCAAGTAACATATAGCAAACAAATCTCTATATCATAATGCAATACTGAACTCAGGACTTATATTCAACAGTTTCTAAAAGAACATTATCCACTAGCATGCTTTTCTAACAGTTCATATATCAACAAAATGAAAACTCAACAAACAAAACAAGTATGGGTATTTTGGGAACCACTCTCCTGTTCAGGCTCTGGCTAACTGTACACACCACATCTTCCTGAAAAAGCCAAAGTTAAGTCAAGGCCCACGTTCCCGATCCCAAGCCAACAATCAAACAAGAACATGACAAGAGACCGAGCCCATGTCCCTAACCCAACCCTTTTATTATAAATTCTTTTTCAAAAACATTTTGCAAAAACTCTTGGATCCTAGTTTGAGACTGGATTCACACAATTGTTCCTCCAATTCACTCAAAGCAGGGCTCTGATACCAACTGGTAACGTTTAATTTTCATAATAAATTTTTTTTATTTTATTTAAGTAAAGCTTCCCAATTATAAATCAGTTATGGAGAAAACCGTTTATTCTAAATACATTTATTAAAAATTACAGTAATATTAAAGCGCGTAATCTTCATTGTTGTTGATGAATTTTTACACTCACACCTTCGCCTTCCCATGATGCCCAATGATACCAGAAACAATAAACAATTGGGTAAGCACAAAGCTTGGTGAGTTTCCCCCAAAATACCCCATACAATAAACACACAAGCATGCACCGGGTCCATTCAGCCATCGGGTTGGAATACCCAGGGTTTGTTGGCCTACCGCCTCAACCTAACCGCTCATCCCGATCCTCCGTGCCTTCGGCTTATGTCGACATATAAACAATAAGGATCAAGTAGGCACATAATAGAGGCAAACAACAATCATAAAACTCACTACATCTACTAGTCCTCTCACAGCACACAGTCCCGCTACCATCTAACCTTCATGAAATACGTAACCATAAGTACCCAGAGGTGAGATAGCCACCCGAACAGATGATCCTACTCTAGAGCCACAACCAAACGAGGAACAAGAAAGAAATCCTAGATCAAGATTTCTCAGGCTATCCTACATGACTACATATAATCCCTAGGGCACTCTATTAGATGATAACCATCAAGTACAGATAAACATACAGTTCTACAGATCATTACTGCATAGCAACATCCTACATACCAGGATACTGATCTAATAGATCACTACAGCATAGCAACATTCTATATACCAGGATACAGATCTAATAGATCACTGCATCATAACAACCTCCTATATATCAGGATACAGATCTAACAGATCACTATAGCATAGCAACATCCTATATACCAGGATACTGATCTAATAGTTCACTACAACATAACAACATACTAAATATCAATAATCCAGGGAATATATAACCGTGTATACTCAGAGGTGAGATAGGAACCTAGACAGGTGATCCTACTCTAGAACCACAACCAAACGAGGAACAGGTAAAAGAGCCTAGAACAAGATTCCTTAGTGTAACGACTCGCCTTATTTAGATATTTTCTCTAATTATTTTTGTCTCTAGAATAGTCCTTTCTAGAAAATTCTAGAAGATATCTAGAAGCTCCATGGAAGGCTCATGAAGAGACATCTTCTAGAAACATTCTAGAAGATGTCCCTTAGTTCCTAGTAGTCCTTGCCTATTTTATAAATAGGGCTCTCCCATTTCATTTCCCCTCACCTTGTAATTGAGTTGAGTTCTCTTGAGCAATAAAAAGCTTTCGTGTGTTGAGTTATTTTCTTCTTTCCTTGTTCTTGTGTTGAAGTTTTGAGTTAGGCTGACTTAGTTTGAGAAATAAGTGCCGCATGGTGAGCTTGAAGATTCAAGTCCGTGACAAGTGGTAATAGACCAAAGCAATTGAAGGAAGGTATGGCGAATGAAATGGAGAAGAATGTTGTTGGAGATGCTAGTATCGTGGTGAATGAAGATAATAAAGGACGGGACGAGATTCGTCATGGTGCAAGCAAGGGACATTGTAAGTCCAAGGATATGTGGGGATCCTTATATAAGAGAATTTCCGAAGTGGAGACTTCCTTAGAGATGTTGTGTGATCAATTTGAAGATGCACATCAACAAGTGGGGGTGATAGCATCGGATAATGATGTAATGCAAGACAATGTGAAAGGAGCGATCAACAAACTTGGTGGGGTATTAATGCAAGATGGGCACACGATCGCATACAAGAGTCGAAAATTGAACGAGGTGGAGAAACTTTACACGATGCAAGAAAAGGAGATGGCCGCTATCATCCACTGGTTACGAGTATGGAGACACTATTTACTCGGTGCCAAATTTGTGATCAAGACGGATAATATTGCGACAAGCTATTTCAAATACAAAAGAAGTTGAGCCCGAAACAAGCCTGATTGTAACATCCAAAAATCATGACCAAAAATTTCATTTTTGATATAACGATTCATAAAAACAGTTTAAAGAAAACATCATCAAGTTATTTCATTTCATAAATGCCATAGATCATATGTCTCAAAAGCGTGTCATAATATAGTAACAATGTCAGAGTACAATCCCAAGAACATCATAGTGTGGAAAATAATGGTGTCATGCGTTGCTACCGTGTCGGCTCCTTTCCCTTCAAAGAAGAAGGACCTGAAACAAAAACTGTAAACCGTAAGCACAAAGCTTAGTGAGTTCCCCCATCATACCACATACGATACATAACACATACTGCCTAACATATCCGGGTACTAGCTATCCCTTCAATCCCTTTCAACTTGTAACTTGCCTAGCATATCAGGGTGCTGGCCTACCCCCTTCGGTCTTGTCGACCGGTAACTTGCTTAGCATATCTGGGTGCTGGCCTACCCCTTCGGTTCTGTCGACCGGTACCTCGCCTAGCATATCAGGGTGTTGGCCTACCCCTTCGGTCCTTTCGACCGGTACCGGGGACTATGTCAACCCCTTACTTCTACCACATAGCATCCTAGTCCATAACATATAAGTCATATACTGGCTAGCTTATCCGGGTGCTGGTATACCCCTTCGCCCCTATCGACCGGTACTAGGGTCTATCCTACCCCTTTTACCACTATCACATAACATCATAGCATACTCGCGCATAAAACATAACAGATATTGACATACCAGACAACTATCACAAAGACAATCATCTCAACTACATCTCCTACTAGTGGGCCGACATTGTGGCCTTAGACCCACTTCTACTGGAAGGTAACTCACCTCAATGTCGTGAAGTAGCTGAACTGTCCTTGGTGTTGGGATCAACTCCTATCAAACTCCTACACATAACAATCTCCTTTAATTACTCTTTCATACTCGTAACCCCTTTAAGGGTCAACTCTGGTCAAAGGTCAAGGTCAAAGTCAACATCCTGGAAAAAGTCAACACCCTGGTTGACTCAACTTGCCGAGCTGGTCCATCAACTCGTCGAGTTCTATAATCCATAGAACCTTGAAATCCCGATCTTACTCGTCGAGTCCTTTCATTAACTCGTCGAGTTCTTCCTTATAACGTAGTCGGGACCTTCTACTCATAACTCGTCGAGTTCCTCCTTGAACTCGTCGAGTTCTTCTTCATACATGTGACAACTAGAAATTTTTGGGTCAAACCAATTCTAAGGGGTCTTGTGTACAAGTGTATCCACAAGGTATATCTATGTAACTTTGATGCAATAATGTTTATTGAAAGCCAAGAGGGCACCATTTGTATGATTAAAGACAATACACACTTGGAAATTCATGTTGAAATAAACCTTGAAAGGTCAATGCAAGTAAAACAAGAATCAAAAGGCTTTAACATAAAAACATGTATTTATGCCATGACCTTAAATTCTCGAATTGTAAGGCCACCATCTTTAGGACTTCTATTCCTCAAGACCGAAAACACATCCATGAGATCACTACAAGACCGAAATCTCTAGTGTATGGCCCATTAAGGCCGAAACACTTCAATATAGAACCAAAATCACTTGTTTGTAGCACTTTAGGACCGGAATCATCAATAGGAGTGTGTACCAAGGGATTTCTTTCATGCCTAGGCCGAAATCACCTTCTTTATGGCCGAAAACTCAAAGGTGATCCATCTAAGAGTTATTCCAGTGGGATACAAAAGATAAGGTTTGACTTTAAGATGTGATATCCTACCCTATTTCCCATGCAAACTCGGCAGTATCCCAAGCAAAATGTTCAACAAATAAACATATTACCCAACAGGTAACTAGGCAAAGTTCATATCAAACTATCCTCCTTATAATGAACGAAACCACCACTTAGGATTTTCCCCATTTCCAATTCAAACTACCAGTAAACTTCACTTCCTCTCTAGAGCAAATTCCAAGCTTTCAAGTTCAAAAAACCTTCAAGTAATCCTTAGATCCTTGTAAGTATTTTCGAGATTCCTAGTGATTCTATACATTTTTATGTTGATTTCACTCTATTTATACACATTAAAATGTGTTAAACCCATAGGATAAAGCCATCTCCAAGGAAGTTCATCCAGTCCAATCAAGAGTTTAGGCTTGAAATCTTCACCTCATCACTTCAAACAACCCACAAATCCACTCAAGGTGAGTTCATACCCCCCCCCCCCACATTTTCAAGCTTTTTCATGTTTTTAGGGGGGGTACAAGCTAAAATTTATTTACTACATAAATACTTGTTGTTACTTCTTGATGTTGAAGTATAGACCATTATGTTCTCAAGTTAGGATTATCACTACTTTTATACAGATTTGTGATAAATTAGTTTTGATATGCAAAGTTAACCAAAAACATAACTTATATATTATGTTACAAATATCATCAAGAAAATATGATTGTAAAACTACAAGGTTTTGGAAACTTTTTACTAAAAGATAGTTTTTCTAGCAAAAACAGTTACATTTTAGTCATTTACTATTTTGGCGGGTTTCAACCCAAAGATATCAAGTTTTACTTTCATATTTTGACAAGATAACATCTTTATATTTATATAAAAGATCATATAAATAGTCTCAACAAACATACAAGATAAACTATAATTGGTATAGTTTAGGAGTCACAAAACCACACTTTCATTTCAAAAAAGCCATTTAATTTTCAAAGGTATAATTATTTTACAAGAAAAAGGAGTCATAGTTCATGTAAATCTGTTGATGCTCTTGTGAGATGTTCCTTCACCGTACCTACCTAGTGTACACCTTAAGTCCTGCATTATAACCAGAGTCTCCTTGAGGGAGAGCGAGATAGTTGTGTATAGATCTATACGGGATTGACAACCCCACACCTCAGCTGTTCGCTACAGTTAGACCGGCAAGTCTAGGGTGACAAAAGTCTACCGACTCCGACGCCTGAAGAACGTCGTTCAGGCATATCAGTCATATCAAGCATGGTTATAATAACTCACATAGGGATTAACAAAACGACTTGGTTTACAGAGTAACTTACACTTCATTAGTTTTATATAAAGATAAAACTACATAATATTTCTCAATACAGCATAACTTACATTTTTGGTCTTACGGTTAAGACTACAGTTCATATTTAAGAAAATATTGGATTTTCTGGAAACATACATATTCATTTTACAAGGAAAGGATACAAAGGAAATACATACATTTTAGTTTTGGGTATAAAGCTCACAACTCGTTTTTAAAGAAAATATCGGATTTTCTAGAAGTATACAAAAAAATCATTTTACACGAGACCGATACAAATCCTTCTCATACAAAATGCTTATGAACTCACCAACTTAATTGTTGACACTTTTCAAAATCACTTGTATTCTCAGGAAACCAGTAGACATGTATCCAAACATTTTTAGGGCAGGTGGCGCTGCATCATGTTTTCTACTTTTCAGTATTTGTATTTAACTTTTGAGCAAGCGACGTTTGTAAACAATGTAAACTTGTAATCTCAATGTATGATGGTTGTCTTGCTATGATTCATTTATATTCAATTGTTATGATACTGTGAAATGACGTCCTCCACCCTCAGACGTTTCCGCCGTTCCGGTTTAGGGGTGTGACATTACAGAGTCGGGACATTTTTTTCATGGCTCGTCGAGTTCCTCCTTATACTCGTCAAGTTTTTTAATCTTCAAGCCCAAAACATGTCCAACTCGCTGAGACATTTCCTAGAATCAGTGAGTTTACTCAGTAACAAAAAAGGTTGGGGGACCACGACCCAATTCGTCGAGTTGTATGAACAACTCGTTGAGTCCCCCATATTCAAAATCTATACAGTCGATTTTAGTCGGGCTTAATGAAACCAAAACGTAGATCTGGCCCCCTAGGGTCGATATATCACATAAAGTTTCTAACTTTACGTGCATGCATGGGCTATTTAGCTCAAAAATCCCTAAAAAGTGATTCATATGATGCATGGGACTCCCATGGTCATAAAGTTGGCACCTTTATGCCATGGAGTCCCTCAAAGACTCTAGATCTGAAGTTATTACCCCAAAACATGCTTACATCCATGAATGATTCCATAATATGCTCCACATGGCCCTAAACTACCCCATAAAGAGATCTAGTAAACAAATAGATTAGGTATAGACTTTATACCTCAAATGAACTGGAAATGAAGTTCTTCTTCTGGATCCAAATCTCCTTCCCTCAACCAAGCACTTCTAGCTTCTACTCTTTCAAGAAAATACCAAGGAATCACTCCTTTTTCACTTAAACACACTCACAAAGCTCAAGATCTCGAATTATGGTTTTCTGGACTAAGGGAGGCGATGAGGGAGGCCACAATGGGGGTGTTAAGATCTTTAAATAGGGTGCAAACCCTAATAATTAGGGTTTCACTCTATCAACTCTACTCGTCGAGTCGAGGATTCTCGACTCGTCGAGTAGAATTCAAGTCCCCGCGTCCAAAAATATCCCATTCCTACTCGACGAGTTTGAGGCCTCCAACTCGTCGAGTCCCTTTGCAAAAATGAATAATTCTTATTAAAATACATACCAGGAACCAGGCGTTACAAATCTCCCCCGCTTATTTTAGACTTCTTCCTCGAAGTCTGATGCGCCTAGAAAAAGCTCTGGGTAGTGCTCCCTCATCTCATCTCTCGGCTCCCATGTCCACTCCGAGCCCTTGTGATGCTGCTATTGCACCTTCACTAAATCTACCCTCTTGTTCCTTAGATCCTTCGTCTTCCTGTCGAGGATGGCTACCGGTCGCTCGATGTAGTTCACGCTGTCGTCCACCTGAATATCCTCTAGAGGTATCACCACGGAGTCATTTACCAGGCACTTTCGTGGCTGGGAGACATGAAAGGTACTGTGGATCTGACTAAGCTCGACTGGAAGATCCGGCCTATACGCCACCTTAACCACCCGGGCTGCAACCCTAAAAGGACCAATGTATCTGGGGCTCAACTTGCCCTGCTTCC